ATCCAAAGGGTTCATGTACCCTCCCATACCTCAAGATATAAAGATGGTGGCTAGATAATAATTTATTTTTATTTTAAGCCTATTCGTAAAGATTAATTATACTATAAATTTGCTAGAGTTAGAGAAAATTATACAATGGAACATTCAGATGAAAATTCTTTCCTCTTTAAAACAATTACATAACAATATTTGTCATTTGACACTATACCTATGGTATATTAAAAAAAGAAAGAAATATTTATAATGGTCTCTAATTCTAATTTTATTTTAGCTGTTTCATTTCTTTTGGCAATCAATAAATCCAATCTTAAAACTAGTGAGTTAATCTTCTAAAGTTTTATCTAGACATCACCACCTTTTGATAAACATAATTTTACTACCTCACAATTACCCTAATATGATAAAGGATTATTATTATTTTTTTATTCTCAAACACTTAACCTATCAAATTAACAACAAATGATTACCTTTTACAATATTTCTGATAATTAAAACGTTAAATTCTTAAATCCCCTCCTTTTTTAAGGAGGGTATAATTTTACACTTGATACTACTTTGTTAAGTGCTTTTTCTTTTATTGCATAGAGTAATTCATCTGGATAAATTTTAATTCTTTATAATAATGGTAGCATTTTAGAACTTGAATTGAATGTTTTCTCTATAAAAATTAATTTATCTAAATAAAGAGAAAAATCTGATTCATTTGAGTTATATGCTTAAAATTATTACAATTCTACAGAAGCTGAAATCAATTTGATTATTATAAAACAACACATATTTGAAACAACTTCTTTTTATATCTTGTTTGGAATTACCTTAATAGTGATTGTAACATCTTTACTTCTATACTTTGTGTATTAAAAAAAAGATTAAGATGTTGATGATTTTGATAATTCAGAAGATGAATTATGAATATATATTTATTCTATAATTTAAATTATTTATTCTATATGCTTACTAAAAATTCTAAGATGAAAGAATTAACGAATCATGCTCATGCTAGGTTTTTTCCAATCTAAGATAAAATGAGAGTCAAAATATGAACTTGTTTAATGTTTGATGAATTTGAAAGTTCTAAATTCTTTGCATACACCCATTTGTAAATTAGTTTATATGAAATCTGATGTGCTAGAATTTTTCTGTTTTATTTAATGAACTGAGAACTTGAATCTTATTAATTTAATTACATCATTATCATTTGGGATTAAATTGTTATTCTATAATTGAGTAGAATTTTTATATCATTTGTAAGATATTCAAGTGTTTGTTTTTGAGTTATTGCATCTTCAAAAATATTATTTTGCCATGCTAGCATTTCATTATTATTATTAAACACATACAAATTTGATTCATTATATTTTTCAATATTGATGCTTGATTTAACCGTTCAGGTATTAGAACTCAGCATTATTAGTGCAGGATTCACGTTACTTCATTATGAAAATATCCATTACAAATCTTTTCATTAAGTTCCTTCTGAATAATGTTTTGGAAAAATCAAAGTTGCACATACGAAATGATTATCAAAACATCAAATGATGGAATAAAATTTGAATTAACTATCAGGGGAAGTAATTCCATCTACTTTGACATTTTCTAACCTCAAGTATTGAGAGTGAAACTATCACATTCAGTTTACCTCGAGTTGAATTAGATTTTACCAAAGAAGTAATAAATATCATTCATTATTTATTAATTAACAAATAATATAGACGATAATCATAGCTTATTGCTTTTAAATTTGATGAAAATGGCTAGATCAATCATGATGCATGATTTTCATCAAATTAAATAAATTGAAATATTCCTTAAAAGTAGTCTTTTAAATTGATTATAGCGTTCAAAAAGAAAACTATTTTGATTTTATTTATCAAATTTTTATTTATACTAATCAATGCAATTAC